CAAGGCCAAGCAGGATTTTCGCAACACAATCAGACACGATACGACTCTATGTACTTGGTAGACAGAGTTGAAGGAAATGTACGGAAATTAAAAACTGTGTCCAGAGTCCTTGAATGTACGCACAGAGGACGCTCTGCAGGAGGACAGACCTCCTCCTACAAGCCGTCAGGGTCTTCAAAGAGGATCAAGCTGAGGGAATTCTGATGAAGTGAAGCAGGAAGAAATATCCAAACGCACGCTTATTCATTATTCACTACACCAAACAGTAGTATCCCCTGCAGAGGAAACTTCTAAATTTAGAATCTTTGATCCGTCGACCCTCTGCAAGTACTGCTCCAATTATATTCTTTTTCAAAACCCGGTTCTGCTTCTTGGTACCAAGTAGTCTACATCCTTCTTCATTTCCGCACACACTGCATCCCGTTAATCATGGCTGGAAAAACTACTTTGAAAATGCGCTTACGAGAGATCTTCCAAAGCCCCCTTGTTGTGTACGTGCATGTGTTCCTTGAACTAGGCAACATCATTACTTATATTTAGATTTACTAGAGTTACATTCTAGGAAACGTCACCATTTCTGGTGGGTGCGGGACTTTTGGCTCGTCCGGACTGGCACGCGGCGCACGCGCGGCGATCTGGACGGGACAAGGCTTCGCGGGTTCTTCGGGTAGAATTCAACACGTAATGCGTGTGCAGATTGCGAATAAACTCCGCATGGTTCTGCTGTTTGAAAATCTTTCCGCTCACGGGGATTGGAGGCAGCAGTATCGGTGAGGAGATTTCAGCGCAAGAGATGAGTGAGGACCCTCATGTAAATGTAACTACTACCATCAAAGCAAATAAGAGTCACTAAAATTGGGAGTTCTTGTTGAGGTTTAATGTCAACTATATATGTTTTGCTGATCGAGGCGCTCACGTCCAGAGGAGAAACATTCAAAACAAAACAACAAAACAGGGTCGATGGTAGGTGACACTAGGACTAAGCCCAGCAGAGGGGAAGAACGCCAGGGAACCCTTCTGCTGGGCTTGGTCCTAGGGTAGCTCTATCCCCCAGAATCCCTTCTCCTCCCTAAGTCTCGGTCCCAAACACAGTAATTGTCTCACTCACATCCCCCAAATGGAACGTCCCCCCAACAACATGACCGCCCTGATTGCCATAACAGCACTATGCTAGTTCCTTCTCATCTCTTCCTATTGCTACAATTCCAGCCGTTCAGATGCATTTCGAATTGCAGAACCTTGCGGATTTTATCCGCAATCTTCACACGTTGACGTGTTGAATTCCCGCGATGCGTCGGGATCGCCGCGCCGCTCGCCGCGCAATTTGCCGCGTGCCAACCCGGACGAGCCAAAAGTCCTCCTGGTAGGAGCCACAACGACAATCACTGTAGTACGATCTCCAGAAGGTAATGTAGGCAGACACTATGTACGTGTACAGAAATTTTCAAGGTTCTCAACATGAATCTCAGAATTTTTGTCAAAATACGACCTTCCGCTCCTATAAAAAGTAGAAATTTCGCAGAGGTATCGATTTGAAGACCTGAGGGCTAAAATAATTCTAAAAGTTCCAATGACGGCGTTAAAGATCATTTCAGAAGGTAGGGTATAAGTGCAGCTTTCTTGAC